TATTGTATACTTCTATGTTTATATAACTACGATAGCGCCTTTGAGAACATTTAATTGGCGCTATATAAGTTTCCTATTGATATATATATATATATATATTAGATGAATGCTGAAGGAACATCCACGACGAATCATCTGCCGTTATATTTATTATTTCTATGTTTTATTAGACTAACATTATCGTTATATTATCATTATTGTTACATCGTTATCATTATATTATCATTATTGCTATGTCGCTGTCCTTCCTACTCATTGTATTATCATACCTACTGCTATTATTATGACGTTATTATAATCTTATCAATATATAAAAATATTTTATTTTATTTATTAACTCGTCAAAATAAGAAATGAAATGACAAAAAGAAATGTTTAATAAAATGAATTTTAATGAAATGTATTTAAAATGTACGGTACAATCCTTCTTCACAGGATCAATGACAATAGCACGTGCGTAGGGGTAAGAATTGTGTTTAATTACCACTATCACAACAAATACCAGATGACGAGCTAATAATGATAATAATAATAGTATTATTATTACTCTACGTCATTATATTTCCAGAAAGTTCAAGATGATCGTTTAAGCAATTGATTATAATTATTTTCGCAGTAATAATGATTCATTTGATAACATAAAAACAATTATGACAAAAGACCCTTATTTGATTTGTACGGAGAATAGACAAAATTTTTTTGGTCCGAATGTTCTCAATAACTGGTTGTACAAGCAAAAAACGGTTGACAACTAAATAATCAGCATGGTTCTCGAAAACATTTTATTATTATATTTCTATCGATTTGTCTCATCATAGTTACTCATCAAATACATTTTAAACAATTAAGAAAGTTAACTACAATAAGAAAGAGATAAAAAATTAATGAAATCTTAATTAAATGTAGATAACTTAATAGAATACACGATCGCCTCAAGATCCTTGGCCTTCCAAAATCTTTTCTTTCAATGAGGATATCTTGAAAACCAATAAACATGTATGGATGGCAAGGGTAATTTAATTACTAAAAATATTCAAAATCTTACATTTACGAAACCTCGAATCCTCAAACGCCTCAGTGAGGAAAAACTGAAATAGATCAGTCTGTGCGTCGTAGAGATAAAGATTGTACTCTTCGTCTTCACAAAAGTACATTAATCTGCCATCAGCGCACTGGAAAGTGTTGTGGTCGTTGTAGTAGTTTATAGTTCTATCTTCAAAATTGTACCAATAGTTGTTGTAATACGAAATAATCCCGTGGTTATTGGATTTGTATATTCCGAATTCATTACGCGTGCCGTTAAAACTCATTTTATTTATATTTATCAATTGTATTTGTACTAAAGTTTGAATTCAATTCTTTTAGAAATAATTTCAGAAGTCTTATATAGGGAAGATAGCGAATGCAAGGGGAAGTAGTTAATTAGTTTCACAAACAATGCATCTTTCCTTACTTACAAGTCAGCTACACTCATCAATTAAAAATCTCAATCAATAATAGATTATAATTTGATATAATGTATAGTGCAATAATTGTTCGATGACAAACAGCATCGTACAACTGTTGTTCCACACCCAAGCAAGTACTACGTAAGATAAACAGCGATCACGGCAAAAAATTGACCACCTTTTAAAAATTTTCAATTGAAAATATATGGATGTGAGTGACAAACAATACACCATTAACAGCATGATGCTATTTTCATCATGCTATTTTCAAGTTAACTTTCAGCAACGATGACGAAGTTTTATTTGTCAAGTACAGTTCACACTATAACAAATAAACTTTCATTATTAAAATGAATGAATGAATGAACGAATGAATGAATGAATGAATGATCAGATCAATCAACCAGCCAATGGGGAAAGTATAAAATCAATAATAATATTATATAAGAGAATGTATGTTGGCAGTCTAACCTTTATGGACGAATTACTACAACTATGGGATGGTTTATTTTATGGAAAATATTTCATATCAGAGTTTAATAAACTGTAAAAAGTAAGTAAAACACGCAACTATAAACAATATGTTTTATTTGTTTATTCATTTCTTCAACTAATGATATTATATGTTGTTTGTGACTCTGGTGCTTTTGATTCATTTTCTTAGTAGGTGTCACTTCTTTGTCCCCCATTGTTATTGGAGTTAACATAAAGACGTCGAGTTGGTTTTGTGTTGTCGAAAATTTGGCGGGTTGTTGGAGTTGCTTGCATGTGCTTATTGTAAGTGACTACTGACACCTACAAACGACACACGCAACTCCACTAGCATGCCAAATTCTTGACAACACGAATATGATTTATCCAAACACCAACACAATACACATAAACATTGACCTCAATAAACCCCAAATTAACACCCAACAAAAAATGACAACAAAGATGAAGAAAATGACAATTAATTAACTACCTTTCCTTTCTCTAAGCTGCATTGAAGATGATTTGTGAAAAATTGAAATAGGCCTATCTGTAGCATGAATTTGGATGATAATTCTATTTTTGAAAAAAATTCTAGTAAGAAAAGTTAAAAATAAATTTTAAATTGGTTAACGTCAGCAATTTGGAAAAATTTATACAATATTGTATAATATACAGTAGAGGATCTAGAGGGGGCACTAGACACCCCCATGTTGTGAGCGTTGTTTGTCTTAAAAGTAAGTGAAAATCGTTGTTTTAACGAAAAAAGTAGTGTTTTTGAAGGGAAAATTGACATTATAAGCCCATTCCCTCCCGTGAGTATAGAGCAGTGTGCAGAGTACCTACCGTTGCACAGTAATTGTTGAACTTGGGAGTGAGGTTGGGTCTTTCCCCTCAGACATTGAAGTATTGATATATAAATATTTTCATTTTTCCTTATGTATTATTATAGTTATTATGTGTAGTTACATACAGTGGCGGATCTAGACAACTTTGACGGAGGGGGGGGACAAAAATTTTAAAAATGTTTAAAAGTTTAATTTTTTTTCAAATTTGGACAGGAAGCCAAGATTTGTGGTAGCGTTGCCAAAATTAGGCTGGCGACCTTTTTTTGATATGAAATGGTGTTTTTTATGCAAAAGCTGAGTTCTTTTAGTAAATATACTGCTCACAACTGGGTGATGGTCTCTTTGGCCTTACCCCAAGATCCGCCACTGAATGTATACATATACATTCAGTGGCGGATCTTGTACATTCAGTACTGTATTTTAATAGCGCTCTGAAATTACCCTGATTGTTATCAGATTTGAGATCTAATGCACCGTCATCCCGGTGTCCACGCAAAGCAAAATTCTGTCTTTCACAAAGTTTAATAGTTTCAATTATAGTGTTAAGCAATTTTCTGTTTTGCTCTATTTTTGTGGAAAGAGCGGAGTTTGATAACTCTAAAACATTAGTTTTATTTTTAATCAAACTCAGAAACATTTCTGATTTTTCTGTAGCCTCACTTTGAAAAGATGTCGCTTGATGACAGCGACATTGATCTAAAGCTGATTTATAACGATTTAAAGGTGATATAACAAATACTCCGACTGAGCCACATGATGGATGTCGATTAGCATAAAGTACACAGAACTTACAGAATGCTCCTTTTTTCAAATCAGAATAAGACAGCCAGGAAAATTCTTGAAACTAATGGAATTTAAAAAACCGTTTTCTTTTACCTTCCAGCACAAATGAAAATTCATAATTCTCGTCAGGTTTCCATGAATTTTTCAAAAGATCATATCTTAAATTATTCGAAATGATTGGGATTTCTGCAGTTGCATATTGTCCAATATCTAAAGGTATTGTTTTCTTTGAAAAACTCTGACATGAATTACCAATTTTGTCTGAAACATCAGTCATGTCATCGTTTAAATTTAATGTAAGGTCTTCTTCCAAGACATCAGATTCTATAATGGAAAAAAAACGTTGTGATTAAATTTTTTAATTTTCCTACCAGAGCTGAATAGTTAAATACTACAAACTTTATTCAAGTTTAGTCGGGTAATGACTGGTACGCATTAACCCTAACCCAAAAAATGTTTTTATTATTCAGTTTATTGCTAATTTTTTTAGTTGAAAATACAAAATTATTTGATATACAATTATTGAAATATCTAGAGGTATTACCATTAACGGCCTCAACTGTATTGAGATCATCGCACTGCTTCTGTTTTTTTGCCGGAGTCGGTTGAAAAAAATTTAAGATACTACTTTTTTAAGACATTTTTTTTAATTTTAAAACGAATTCAAATGCAAAACTGATTTTATGAAACACAAAAAATAATATAAGACGCGCCAAATCGTAAATGGAATAAAATATGAGCTGCGAACAAAACATAAAATTATGAAAAGTCTAAATAAGTAAAGACTATAATATTTTTTAATGTACTTTTTGTTGATATTAGTTTTCAATAAAAAAATATACTAAGAAAACATGAATTATTTTTATTTTGTGCCGCAAAACACTATTTAAGTTTAAAATATGAATAATATTCTGAAATAAACTTGTATTAAATTTATATAATAAATCAGCGTTATTTTTTATTGGTAAAAAGAGTCGATCTCAATTTTTTTTTTTTTATTATTTAACGCTGTCTTGAATTGAACTGATGATAACCGGGGAGAGGGGCCATGGCCCCCCCTAAATCCGCCACTGGTTACATATGTATTTAAATAAAATGGGCATTTTAAAAAATTTAAATAACGGTAAACAGTAAAGAAACAAGCTTGTTTTATTAAGTCACTTAATTTAAAAACCTAATTTGTTTAAAAAAATGTTAACCTGTTAAATAATCAATTTCTTCAGGGCCAAAAATTACATTTAGTCATAGCTTTTGCCAAATTCATTACTTTAAATTTTTAATTTAACGATTTATTAATTAATGTAATTTGTTTATTTATCTATAAAAAAACCTAACTTTATCTTTATATTGTGACGTAATATCACATTTAATTAAAAAAATTTTATTGAATTATTTTTAGTAAATTATTTTAAATAAAATTATTGTTCTTTGTACAAATTTTTACCTGCAATTTGTTTTCAATCATTGTACTCAGGTGTTTCAAAAATTAAAAAATAATTAAATAAATAATAAATTAGTTATTAAATAAATAAATAATAAATTAGTTATTAAAACTAAATGATGGACAACTTCACATATTTCCTTCTTTGCTTATTTTTCGGATTATTATTTCTCAATCGTGAAGGTTGTTTTTTCAAAGACTGTTTCAAAGAAAAATGAATTGTGACTTTATTTATGAATGGAATGAACAAGTTTTTAAATGCCTTGATTGCTTGAATTGAATGAAGCAGCTTTAAGACATATAATTTATTTTAAAAATAAATATAAAAATTAAACAATATTTATTATATAAGTAAGACTGAACTTGTGGTATAGTTGGATGGTTTGTTTCCATTGAAATATAATAAATAATATGCTTCAAACCAGTCTTGACTAATACAATATAATTTATTTATAATAGCAATGTAATATCACAATTTCAATTTTTAGTGTAATGTAATGAAAATATGTTGACAGTCAGTCAGTATGTTTTATTCATTTGTTAGATTACTAAGTCATAAAACTGCTTCAAACAATAGAAATCTTTTTGAATTACTTGATGTTTGTTAAATCTTGTGGGTGTTATAATATAAACAATAGATAAATAATAAAGAAACAACATTTATGATTCAGTATGCAGCTTGCAATGCTACCAGTGTGATAGCAATGAGGATAACTCCTGCCCGACATACAAGCCCTTCGATCTGAACATCAATGCACTGGTCGACTGCCAAAGTTTTGAAACCCGAATTCCTGGAACTTTCTGCCTGAAAATAACTAGGCAGAGTCCTGGCTGTAATTTTTTTTTATTTATTTTTTATGAAAATTTTGTCTTAACCTCTATTCAAATATTGAGCCTGGTCTATGCTCTATGGTATCAAATTTTTTACATAAATAATTGTTTACTCAAAATTAACATAATTATTGATGACCTTGTCATTAACTTCTTCATTTTAATTTCACATTAATGTGCCCTCCTTGTGTGTCTGTTATTAGTTATATTTATATATATTTGGTGCATGCATGAATTACCTTAATGTTGTAATTCACTGTTTTTTGTTTTTATAGTTTGTATGCACTGTCAGACCTCCTTACAACGAAAATCTTTATATAAGGAATTTTTTCATCTCTTGAAATTTTACATATAAAACTTTTTTCTATAGAACGAAAATAATTTCTTTGTAGTCTGTAACAAACAAAATTTATAAAAGTTGAAAGAAATATCCGACCGGCAAACATTCTATGAATTGATATGAGTGGCATTTTTGTACTCCTTTAATTTCCCAGAGCCATATTTATTGTTTCTTGTTCTAGTTTTCTATTATTTTCGTGAACTCTACCTCGATTAATTTCAAAGGAATTTCATCATTATATGGAACAAAGAATAAAATTCACTTTTAAAATTTTACTTTTTACAGTTATGCCATGCACTTTTTGCAATCAAAATAAACGATTAGGAGGTCGTTTCTATATTTAACGAAATTTCTATATAACGAACTTTTTTCATGGAACCATTTAATTCGTTATAAAGAGGTCCGGCTGTATATATGTAATATGTATGTATATATGTAGTTAGTTTTTATGTAGTTTGTTTTCATGTAGTTTGTTTGAGTGTGATTTGTATGTAATTTTTTTGCATTTCGTTTATATGTATAGTTTAAATGTGGTTTGTTTGTATGAAGTTGATTTGGCTTGTAGTTTGTGTGTAGCCTGTTTGTATGTAGTTTGTTTTTATGTATTATTAATTACACGCATGTGTTTTTATTTCTTTCCCAGGGTACGGATGGATAAAACAAACTCGAAGATGCGGTTCTCGATCCGAAACAGGTGATGTCGTTTAACACCTTCTTGATGTCATTAACATAATTGATGATGTCATTTACATAATTAATGATTCCATTAACATATTTATTGATGTTATTAACATAATTATCGATGTCGTTAACATATTCGTTGATGTCACATCAATGTGCCTTCTTCGTTGTCGCTATGTTTTGAGTACTGGTACAACTCCATTAATGTGATCTTTTCACTATTATTTGCTTGTGCAGTTCATCATTTAATAAGTTTAAATGTATATGTTTCGATGAAAATGTTTAAGATGTATCAGAAGTATATCTGATGTCATGTGATATCATGCAATGTGATGTAATATCATGTCATATATATATATATATATATATATATATATTTGTGTGTGTGTGTGTATTTATTTATTTATTACAATATATATTACAATAATATATATATTAAATTTCACAGTAAGTGCGAAGCCAGCAATAACTATAATGATGATAATTATGCTGGTGATAATATTATTAAATAATAATAATTGAAAAATGATGATGACGGTAAAAATAGTAGTATAGTGGTAGTAATAATAACGATAATAAATAATAATAATAAATAATCTTATTAAATATTAATATGTGATAAAAGGTGTTGCCTGGGGCTGCAAATGGTCGTACGAGGAGGATGGGGTGTGGAAGGAGATGTGCTACTGCGACGACAGGGACGGGTGCAACCACGCAAGTCCCTCCCAATCTTCACTTTCCATCCTTCTCTTGTTTCTCACCGCTTCATGCATACAACTATTTATCTATTTCCTCCGTTTTGTTTAACTTTTTTTTTATATAAATATTTTAAACCTTTATAGCAAGTTTTGTTCAACTGATTTCTGATTTCAATCTATTTATAACAATTTCAATCTAAATAATCAATTAAAAACGTGCTGGTTTTAATGGCGTTGTGTCTTTTTCTGAGTTGATTTTCGTTATCTAAACGTCACGGTGACATTCAGGCGCGCACACACACACACACACACAACGAACTTTTGAAAGTCATATATATATATATATATGTTGGTAATAGACCATAATTTTTACAATATTCTATAAATTCTACCGAATGTTTGACGTTAATATGTTTGTAGTAGAGCACTGCGCGGTTTGCGGTTTAAACCGCAAAAACCGCACCGCAACCGCAAAATCATGCGGTTTTACGCGGTTGGGGTTTTGAAATATGCGGTTTTTCCGCAGCGCGGTTTTTTTATCAAAACCGCGGTGACCGCAAAAATTTTGTTAAATATTTTTGTTCGTCCATAACATTTTAAAAATTGCATTATCATTGTAATAATTTTATATATTAAAATCTTAATATCTTTGGAAGCCGTTGAAGCAACCATTTTCTTTTTCCTGTTTACTTTGAAAGAAGTAGTTATTTTATTTACGGCGTGGTTAATTATCGATTATTTTATAAAAATGTCCGAGGTAAAAAATGTTGAAAATGATCCACGGGTAGATGTAATTGATAAAGAAAGGGTAGGATCATCTCTCAATTATACACTGCAAGAGACGGTCCAGTTTAAATCCATACAAAATTGACAAACGTTATTTATTAAGAGTAACAGTGATTTGGATGTAGATAGTTGTGATTTATAATGTCAATAAAAGCATTAATGTTGTTTTTTCTTGCGGTGCGGTTGCGGTTTTCGACGCTGCGGTTGCGGTTTCAAATGTTGCGGTTGCGGTTTTTGAAAATTCCAACCGCGCAGGGCTCTAGTTTGTTGTTCGTTTTTTCAATTTTTCTCACTAAAGTTTTTTGGTGAACGTTTAGTTTATTTCCATCTAAGTTCATTTTGACAAAGTCAATATTTCCCTATATAAACATCAAAAAGCACTGATGATGATTCATTCGGAATCGAAATATGGCCTTATTGCAGCA